GATGATGTTGTACATGAATGTTATTGCAGATTGTAGAAGATGAAGTAGAGAAAGGGATGAGGATGTGGATTCAGTTGTAGAGAGAGAGAGAGAGAGAGAGAGAGAGAGAGAGAGAGAGAGAGAGAGAGAGAGAGAGAGAGAGAGAGAGAGAGAGAGAGAGAGAGAGAGAGAGAGAGAGAGAGAGAGAGAGAGAGAGAGAGAGAGAGAGAGAGAGAGAGAGAGAGAGAGAGAGAGAGAGTTTTGATGATGAAGATGTGAAGGTTCTGAGAGATTTTTTTTAGAATGATTATTGTTGGAGATTCTTGAAGCGTAGATACAGAGGAGAAGAGAGAATTGAGAGGATGATAAAGAGAACCGAAAGAGATTTTTTTCACATCATTTTCTGGTTTACATGATGAATAATTGTATATCTTCTCTCTCCCCTTTTGTTTTCTATTATATTCCATTACAACTTTCTTCTGGAAGTTTTTTGTTATAGAATTGGTTAGAAGGTGGTTAAGATGTTAGAGAAAATTTTGTTTTGACCGTTAGAAACAGTTAGGAAGCAGTTGAGGTTTCTATTATACCATTCTGGTTCAGTTAGGAGGTTGGAATATGGTTAGAGGTTAGTTGATTGTTAGTTTTGGGTGATGTTAGTTAGGGGTTGTTGGTGGAAATTTGTTGGAGTTGTTATTCTGTTTAGAGGTTGGGAAATTAGTTATGGTTTTTTGAAACTGTTTATGATGAGATTCTGCTTCCATTTTCTGCTATGCTTTTGTTTGGTAATGGTTGATTCAGTCTTTCTGTTTTTCAATTTTATTCCAAACAAGGCGGTTTTCTGAACTAGATTTTGTATTGCAGAGTGGTATGGACTTGTTTTTAACAATACAGGATCACAACTTCTATTTTTTTTATGAATGATTATATGCAGGTTTTTCGTAACAAGATTTTGTGAACTGATTTGGTGAACTGATTTCTTGAACAAAAGCAGGGCTGCTCGTTTATTTGAAAAAATCAGGTCTAATTTTGTGGTATTAGGGAAGGGATAAAGAATGGAATGTCCAAGGCATATGCATTGCTAGAAGCTTGAGAAGTGAGCAAGAGTTAAAGATACAATGGCATGAAGATTGAAGATGAATGGCATAAGTTTAGGACACATAGGTTTAGGATAGTTTTTTTATGAAATTTGTAATCCTTCCGGTTGATGTAATGAATGGTTCTTGAATAAACTTGCCATCCAATTTGCATTTGAATACCAAGTTTTCCTTAATTTTTTTCATATAAAATGAACCATGGTGTAGGATGGATGACTTGAACTCCAAATTTGAAAGTTTTTCACTTCTTTTATTTGAACTTGAAAATGGTGATTTGAACCATGATGAATGATAACAAATTTGAATGGTGTCTGAATCCATGCTTGGATGATACTTGAATTAAGACTTGAACAAACCTTACTACTTGTTTCATGTGAACAAAACCTCCAAACTTGCATGCTTTAGCTAATTTTAAATCCATTAAATGAATCGACTTGAATCCACGACATGAATCTATACCAACTCAATTATTTAATCCCTATCAATCTTGTATAACAAACAATAAGAGAATCAACGTGACTTGATCTTAATGAATTCACAACATCATCCTTATATCATGCCTCGTTATCCAATGAACATCCAGTGAAAATGTTGACAAACCCAAGTATGATATGATATAAACCCTAATCCTCCTGAGGTATATGCTGAACAAAGACACAACTTATCATCAAAGCCATAGTTCACAATCTTCTCAGTCATAATTATTAGTGAGAAATAAATAAGTCTTCAATGGTCACCATTACAAACCCTAGCTCCTCAGACCAAGGTTGATGATGGAATACGTTGACGACCCTTAAATGGAAAGGGAAACCTCAAAGCCAGAAAAAACCCTAATTTTCCAATTCAATACTTGGAGGAGAAACAGACGAATCAACCTTATTCGATATGTGCATCTCAAAACAGTATGAAACCCTTAGCTTGCATGATCATTGAACTTTTGAACCTCAAGTGCCTTATTGAATATAAATGTATGCCATGTTAGTGACCTAATAGAATATATACAGATGAATGCAAAAGCTTAAGCCAGATAAAAGTAAAAGGGTAGGACAAATTTGGGGTATTACAGTAACCTTCCAAACACTACACCTAGGTTCAAACTTGAGCCGCCTCAGGTGTAATCTTCCAGGTTGTGTACTTTAACTAGACACACTTAAAAGTTGTAGCCCTGAGCCAACTAGGGTCAACTTTATAGCCTGTGTGTTTTTGCCTAGCCAGGGACTTGGGGCTAGCGCCTACACGGAAATATCTCTGCATGGAAAATTCGACGTTTTTAAATCAGAAGTTCTGGGTGATTCTTTTAAAATAAAAGAAAAACAAATGCCTAAAAGGCATTCTTATGCCTCACAATGATTACTCAAACCAGAATTTAAAATTCTAAATGGTGGAGCTAGGATGAAATTATCTTCACAAAGCGGTCGACCTATTATTAAGCAGTGCCAAGCATATCAAAAAGGATTAAGACCTTTTTCAAAACTAATCACTATGGTTTTTGTCAAAACCACGTCACTAGGGGGCTACCATATATCCATAATCCTCTTACAAACATATAGGCATACAAATAAAATTGGCATGAACGGAAATTGCAAAAATAAAAGCAAAAATATGATTAATGATAAGATCCATGGAGCAATTGTCTAAGCATGCAAAATATTTAAAATTATTACAGAATGCACCCACCTAAAAATGGTGACTAACAACAAATTATTCAAAAGAAACAAGGGAAAGGCTAAAATCACTTGGTCACATCCGCCTGGGAGGCGTCATTGGTACCTGACTCACCTATGGACGGGGACCCATCCTCATCATCATCATCTACTTCCACGTCCACCAACTTACCATCCACAATATTCTTGAAGAAGTCCACAGAGGAGATATCCAACTCTGGACCAAGGTCTTTGTTTTCTTTGGTCAGAGACTTATTCTTCAAGGTTTCTTCAAGCAGACTCTTTTCCAAAGTTGAGCATTTGTCAGCATAAGACTTCCCACTCTTTATCAGCCGTTGTACATCCTTTTTAAGATTGGTACACCTTTCCTCCATGTCTTCCCCGAATTCAAACAGACCACGGGCCAGCACAGTGCATTGCGTCATGTAAGAACTTAGGTTCTGAGTAAGCTTCTGAGGGCCAAGACTCTTTACCCTATTGACATCTTCAGTGGCATTAAGTTGGTCATAGATGAACTTCATCCCATCAAAGTTGTTGGACCAAAACTTGTTCTCGCTAGAAGCAGGAACAGAGTTGTCACCACTCTCCTGCATTAATGCTGAGACCTCCCGATCAGCCTGACAAACCTCATCTGTCATCATAGTCTTCAACCTTTTTGGAGATCTTTGAGAAGGTTCTTCAACAGCCAGGACATTCTTGGCCGGTGACTGGGGCACACCGACAATGACGCCCTCCTTTGGGTCGGTTCCCTTCTTCTTCACCACTCTAAGTTCCAAGCCAGTCAAGTCGAATTTGGACTCCAAAGGCCCTCCAGCTCCTTTCCAGGCAGCACGTGCAGCAACCATCAACTTCTTTTGTTCTTTGACAGAAAGGTCAGTCATTTGCAAAAACATCAAAAGGGAACAGAAGAGGAAATATTTTTATAAAAGGAGAAGTTATGGGAAGTAACGATTAAATAAGGGGAAATGTGTGTAGGTCTTAAAAAATCGCCTTAGTAATGATTATACCTAAGAAAACTAGGTGATTGTTGGGAAACTAGGGCGTGAGTGACACGCACGCCGAGGTATGGGATCGATCATCATCCGGTTATAGAAGCTCAACCTGGAGTAAAAGATTAATATTTACGTTGACCGAACATAAGGCTTCAGATAAAAGTCATATGCTCGGGGGCTTATGTTCATACATAGATCCATTGTCCCGGCTAAGAGAGATAAAAAGGAAAGATATGGATATAAAGCCAATGAGGACAAATAAATGCTTAGCCGGGTAATACCTCGATTTAAGATCATCATGCCTGAGTCAGATTGTATAACTTGAGGCATAAGTGGTCGGTCATCGAGAAAGATGAAGAGCCTGACGGACTTATTTCTGGATCCAGAGGTTACATAGAGTTCGACCTTGATGAGGTCGTTATAGAGTGATCGGTCCATTAAGGGTGCAACCTCTCATCAATACATGGCAGTGCGCGTTATGATAACAACCATCATTGACAACCTCAGACGTTTCTTGCCTTAATGGAAACTCAGTTACGTATGATGGAGAGTCACAACAGTTTCATGCAGTGATCAATGAGGTCCAGATACCTCTATATATAAGGCTTTCGACTGAGGAGTAAGTAAGACACATCACTTGGAGCTCACACATACTTGTATGATTCTCCGAATCCCTTAATATCATAAACAATTCATTTCCACTTGCTTGAGGCTCTCTCTGATATCCTTCAACTAACAGGAAACTCACTCATTTAGTGTTTAGCAAAAACAATACCAAAATCTATATCTCTTCTAAATAGAAAAGAATAATGATGATATATTTTTACACAAGCAAAACACAATACAATACTCGAATTAATAAACCATCAAACGTCGTGATTATTCTCTCTCGAACATATCTGCCATAAGATGAATGATATCTTTTTATAAAAATGACGATCCAACCAAAAAAATCCAATAAAATAACCACAAAGCCAGACCAAATTCAATCTTCAGCGAAATAAATCTTTTAATCAAACAAATCTAATTAAATGTTTTCAAGTGGATTCTGATAATTAAATTTTTTCCAACCAAAATCTTTTCAAAACATATAGTAGAATCTTGAGCAAAATATATCTCCCTAAAATAAGTCTTTCTGTTCTGAAATGAATCAAGACAAAATAAATCTTTCTAAATCATTGTATAATCTACGATATTCTAAATGATTCTAAGTATGGTACAGTTTGATGAAAAGTGATTCTAGATACAAGTTGGTACTGTAATTTAAGAATATGTGGTCCTGCTCCTGCAATAGTGGTCTTCTATCCCGTGTTGTAAATTTATTAAACCATATAATTTGGAATAGTCTCCAGTCAATGAAGAGATTCACACACCTACTTCTCGTTTCACGCGCTGCCTTATTACTCTTTCAGTCTTATTATAAATCTCATCATAACACAAAGTCCTCTCTTGACTTCTCTCTCTCTCTCTCTCACAATTCTTCTCCATCTTTTCTATTTCCTCTTCTCAACCTTGTTCCTCTGCTTCATTTCATCCAATTTCTAAAGGTTTGTTTGTTTCACAAAATTTACACTTTCTTTTTATGTTATTTTCTTAACGTTTTCTTAGCCTTATGATTTCCCCCTCTTATTTTAGTTTCAGAAGAATAGTCAACGGAACATTTTTGCATTATTATTATTACTATTATTATTATTATCATGCTTTTTTTTAATTGTTTTCCACTTTATTATCTATCCTTCAAGACATTGATACTTTTATATGGATCAAATCAACCAGGTGGCATTCCAAGCGCATTTGAATTACTTCATACTGTCATGACTTGTTTTTCTTTCTTATTTGGTAAGAATGTGTCTTCTGATATAAGACGAGATCCTGAAATTGATCAAGGTAACTAACTTTTCTATGTTTGGTTCATTTATAGGAACACATCATTCATTTTTCTCATATAAAATGATATAATTAGTGAATGTAATTACCTATTTACTATGATGTCACCTGCATACACGATCCAAACACTGACACGACAATACTAATAATAATTTGAAAAAATAATAAATTAAATGTAATTACAAGTGTTGGTGTAGGTGTTCAACACCTAGATGGATATAGTTTTTTTTTGGAGGTGTTTTAGTGCTACATAGCCTATTTACCGGGCTTGATTTTAATTGAATATATTGTTAACAGGACTTTCTGGTATTCGAATTAAAGTTTATACCTACAAAGAACTCAAAAATGCCTCTGACAATTTCAGCCCGGCTAATAAAATCGGGGAGGGTGGTTTTGGTTCTGTCTATAAGGTAACAAAACAATACTCGAGTATTTCCTTCATCGCCGTATAGTTTGTTTTGATAATTATTTTTTCCTTAACATTATTTGGTGGATGATTAGGGAGTACTAAAAGGTGGGAAGTTAGCTGCTATAAAAGTTCTCTCAACTGAATCAAAACAAGGGGTGAAGGAATTCTTGACCGAGATTAATGTCATTTCAGAAATCCAGCATGAAAATTTAGTTATACTATATGGTTGTTGCGTGGAAGGAGATCACCGAATATTAGTCTACAATTACCTCGAGAACAATAGTCTTGCACAAACCCTTCTTGGTAAGTGCATTACGATTTTTTTGGTAGAGTTTTCTGGGAGGCTCGAGAACAAGGGCTTTTATTTCGTCTGAATTTCATGGACTTGATATGTAGAAACTTTGATTGAACTAAATTATGTGCTCTTGCAGCTGGAGGTCACAGTAATATCTACTTCGATTGGCAAACACGATGTAAGATATGTATTGGAGTTGCACGCGGACTTGCCTTTCTTCATGAAGAAGTAACGCCGCATATTGTTCACAGAGATATAAAAGCAAGCAATATTCTCCTTGACAAAGACCTTACACCGAAGATTTCAGATTTTGGTCTTGCAAAACTTATTCCATCATATATGACTCATGTCAGCACACGCGTAGCAGGAACAATGTAAGTGTTTTAGGTTTCCAGTCACTACAATATTTAGAACAGTGATGGTTTTTCACATTTTGTGAGTTAGCTTCCTAGATCAAATGGTGTCACGATATCTTATCAGAAATCGTAGTTGGTGACACTGACACTGGTTGATGACCCTCGTTATTGGGGTTTTCTACATGTGTTATTCGCTCATGCCCAAACGAGAACCTTGTTGAAGATATTTGTTTGGTTGATCCAGTGCTGTGCATAAATGCAACCCACACTTGTTAACAAGACTTTCTGGCATTCATTCATTCATCAACTTGTTGCAGCTTCTTCCACTATTTGTGTTGTTATCTTCCATATCTCACCGATTATTTATATCTGGAACTCAATGCTGTGTTTTATTTCAGAGGCTATTTGGCACCAGAGTACGCAATAAGGGGGCAATTGACTCGTAAAGCAGATATATACAGTTTTGGTGTCCTCCTTATAGAGATAGTCAGTGGGAGATCTAACACAAATATCAAATTACCAATTGCAGATCAATATATTCTAGAAACGGTACGTGTGGTCGCATCTTCTCTGTCCTGTTCAAGTATCTTTCAGTTGTTTCCCCTATGAATCATATTCTACTGCATTATGGTATCATTAGACCAGCTCTTATTTAAGCTTCTGTTCTCACAACAGACATGGGAACTTTACGAGCGAAACGAATTGGTACAGCTGGTAGACATATCACTAAACGGGGGTTTCGATCCAGTGGAGGCTTGTAAAATTCTGAAGATTGCCCTTCTTTGTACTCAGGACACTCCTAAGCTCCGGCCAACCATGTCTTCTGCAGTCAAAATGCTCACCGGAGAAATTGATATTAACGAAAGTAAAATAACAAAACCGGGCTTAATTTCAGATGTTATGGATCTTAAAGTTAGGGGAGCTAAGAAAAATAAAGATATGGAGAGTACATCTTCATACAATGCTTCCTCTGGTTCAGATAGCCAGGGTACTACTACTGCAACAACTTCAACCTTCACTATAAAATATGATAAAAGCATGTAGCATCACTGCTAGTCTTCAGTAATTTTCTCATTGATCTAAGATTTTTTATTTATTTATTGAGGTGTGTTATCTCATGTAAATTTGTTCTTGATTCTATAATTTAGAATTTCTCTTCCCCTCTTTGTTCACTTCATCTCAATACAAATTATTTCTTTATTTTTCGAATGACCTTGTGTGTCATCAACGACTGAAATTCTTTTAGATATTACGAGTGGTTTAAACACCATCTGAAGATGTATTTTTTTGAACAATTCATCACAATGCAAGTGATAATCGTAATCCTTTTGTGAATGAGTTGTTTTATCCTCGAGGCGCCGTGGTTATTAAGAGCTGTTTTGCATAATTTTGGCAATACCGTGAAATGTCTTAAAGAAAACGTACCGTTCCGCGACTCAGCCGATAACATCCTCCGTGGAAATCGTTTCAAAAATCCGACAAATAACAATCTTAAGAAGCTGCTTTAACTGCCATGGCTACTGAGGAAATTATCAGTACTATCGCGGCCGCTACTGTCTCTGACAAACCATTTAAGTTTGAGGGTTTTAATTTCAAACGTTGGCAAGCTAAGATGAAAATTTTCTTAATTTTAAAGAAGGTTGCCCACGTTCTGACTGAGGATGTCCCTGTTGCTCCTTCTGGATCAATTGAACTAACTAATGGTAAGACATTTGTGGAATTAGACGGGGGACTCCAAAATCGTCTGACTTAGACTCTGCTGCAAAAGCTAAAGTTGCGGCTGATAAATTACAGCTCAGGAAAGAAATCGCCCTATGGCAAAATAATGATTATCTTTGCTAGAATCACATTCTGAACAATCTCTCTGATCTGTATGACTACTATGGTAATTATGAGACTACTAAACAGGTATGGGAGGCTCTGCAGAAGAAATACAATACTGAAGAAGCAGGTGCAAAGAAATATGATGCCAGCCGCTACATGAACTATAAGATGGTGGATGAAAAACCCGTGGAAGCTCAAATCCACGAAATTCAGAAGATTGCTCATGAAATAATTAAAGAAGGTATGCCCCTCAATGAACAATTTCAAATTGTTGTTATCATTGACAAACTTTCCCTTGGTTGGAAAGATTTCAAAAATGTGTTTCGCCATAAAACAAAAGAGTCTGATCACTCGCCTCCGAATTGAAGAGGAAGCTAGAAAACAAGATCAGAAGGATGAAGTCTTAGTTGTTTCTAACAACCAACAGAGATTCAGTGCGATTCTGAAGCCTACAGGAAAACCATTAAAGAATCAGAACCGCAATATTGTGAACCAAATTAAGAATGGGAATCCCTCAAGGGACCCATCTGCTCTGGTTTCTAGACAACAACCACCAACTCAAAGAAATGACGCTTCAGTTTTCACTTGCTATGATTGTGGAAAACCGAGTCATATGGCTAAGAGATGTAAGAGCAGGTCCAAACTTGTTGGCTCTAATGCACATGTTAACCTGAATGATGAGAAATTCATTGCTATGATCACTGAAATCAATATGGCTGGTGGAAGTGATGGTTGGTGGATAGACACTGGCGCCTCTCGTCGTGTCTGCTATGACCGTGTTATGTTCAAGACATTCACGAATGCTGAAAATAAGAAAGTGTTGTTGGGAGATGCTCACACCATTGATGTTTGTAATACGGTGGGAGAAATGACTTGGTTGTTTTGCGTTTGATCGCAATTGTTGCGGATAGCAAGAGTCGCCATTGACTTTTCTTTTATCCAATAAGGAAAGGTTGAAATGAACAGGAAAGACCTTTGAGATATTTTCTTGAGTTAGGGGGTAGATTATGAAAAGGGAAGGTGTTAGTGTTAGAACAAAGTTTGAATCTACTACCCTATGTTTAAGTTTTGATGATAACAAAATGAAATGATATATTATTTATATGATTCATGTATGAACTATTTGCTGCCTAAATTACTACGTTCTGATTTGCAGATACTCTGATAGATATAAGCAAGATCACACCTAATCAGCATCAGAAATTTGATTCTTGACATCAGCATCAGAAGTTGCTATATCAGAATACCAGAATCAGAAGATTAACTCACGTGTATGCTGAAGCCTGATGAACAGAACTGCGCTCAACACTCTGATAAATAAAACAACGGTTCATCAGCAGTTAAGTAGAGTCAGAATGAGCCAAGCCAGAACATGCATTAAGTAAGCAACGGTACTGTGCATTGAAAGCAAATTATTACCAACGGCCTCATTCCAGACAAGATCTGCTCGATAAGGAAATTTTGTTATTAGCATTGAATCAAGAATATTGCTCCAACGTTCAACAATCTCAGTGCTATATAAACAAGACTATGAAGATTGAATTGGCTAATGCTCTCCAACTCTTTACACGCCTAAAAGCTGATCATAATCTTCCTTCTCTCAGTTTGCTAAACGCTACATATCCTCTTACTCAATTATTGTTTAGCAATCTAGTTTCTAAGCTTAAAGTTGTGTATACATCACAGTTGTGATACAGTTTTGTAGAAAACATTCACACACTTAGATTTATCTTCTTTGTAAGAAAGTGTTTCCTTGACAAACCGGGTTGTGGTTTGCATCAAGAAGGCTTTAGCAGTTGTTAAAGCAGTTTGTAATATTCAGTTGAATATAGTGGATTAAGACCTCGTTGGAGAGAGGCGAAATCACCTTGACGGATGGACTGGAGTAGTTTGAGATCAAACGAATCAGGATAAAAATATCTTGTTCATTTCATTGATTTTTAGTTTTACAATTCAACCCCCCTCCCCTTCTTGTGTTTTTCACTTCTTCAATTGGTATCAGAGCGCCTGGTTCTGAGCTAAAACACTTAACCGTGTCAGTACAAGATCCAGCGTCAGAAAAACACAATGGCAGGAAACTATTCTCACACCAGCAATGACAACCATGAGGACAGAGACAGATTCAGCGGCAAACCTCCAGTCTTTGATGGAGAAAACTTTGATTACTGGAAAGACATAATTGAAAGCTTCTTTCTGGCACATGATGCTGATCTGTGGGATATGGTGATAGATGGATACACGCACCCTGTGAATGCAAGCGGTCAGAAGATTGATAGAAAAACAATGTCTGACCAACAAAAGCGTGACTTCAAGAATCACCACAAGGCCAGAACCATCCTCCTCAGCGCCATCTCCTATACTGAATATGAAAAGATCTCAAACAGAGACACAACAAAGAACATTTTTGACTCTCTCAGAATGACGCATGAGGGCAACGTTCAAGTCAAAGAAACTAAAGCTCTGGCGCTCATTCAGAAGTATGAGGCGTTCAAAATGGAAGAATCTGAATCCATTGAAACAATGTTCTCAAGATTCCAGATTCTGGTAGCTGGTCTCAAAGTTCTGGACAAAGGATACTCCACTACTGACCATGTCAAGAAAATCATCAGAAGTTTACCCAAGCAGTGGAGACCAATGGTTACAGCTTTGAAGCTAGCTAAAGATCTCAACAAAATCACTCTGGAGGAACTTATCAGCTCCCTCAGAAGTCATGAGATAGAGCTAGAAGCTGACGAGCCTCAGAAGCAAGGTAAGCCTTTAGCATTAAAATCTAACAAAAAATCTGAGTCTAAAGTTTTGCAGGCAGTTGAAGAAACATCTGATGGATCCTCATCAGAAGAAGACGAACTCTCCCTCCTCTCAAGAAGAGTAAATCAACTGTGGAAGCAAAGACAAAGGAAGTTCAGGAATCCTAGAAGATCTGATCAGAACGAGTCTTCTTCCAGATACAGAAGGACAGATTCTTCCTTTGGATACAGAAGATCTGAAGGCTTCTCTAGTAGCAAAAAGCCAAACACCAAGGACATCATCTGCTATGAGTGCAATGAGCAAGGACACTACAAGAGTGACTGCCCAAAGCTTCAGAGGGAAAAGCCCAAAAAGAAGTTTGGAAGAGAGAAGAAGAAAAGTCTCATGGCTACATGGGATGAATCTGACTCGTCTGAAGCTGACTCGGAATCAGATGATGAGAGAGCCAACATAGCTCTCATGGCTAATATTTCAGAAGATAGTGAAGCTTCTGAATCAGACACTGAAGAGGTATTTCTTAACTTTGCTGTTAATTTTACCAAGGCTGAACTTGCTGAAAGCCTTAATGAGATTCTGGAAAGGTATCAGCAAATTAGAGTTAAATTCAGAGACCTGAAAAGGAATCTTGAATCTGACTCTAATAAGACTGAGAGTCTCAAATTGGAGAATTCTGAGCTGAGAAATAAGATTTCAAAATTAGAAAATACTTTACAAAACTCTCAGAAGGAACCAATTTCTGAAACTCCCAGCAACGCTGATGAGATCATCAAGGAGTATGATCACAGTTTCCAGAAGTTCCTTTCTAAAAGCATAGATAGAAGCAAAATGGCTTCAATGATCTATGGAGTTAGCAGAAACGGCAGGAAAGGAATAGGATACCAAGGTAAGGTTCCTACACCAAAGAATGTCATGGACTTAACTATTAAATTCACTCCTCTGAATTCACATTTTGTGTATGGTCACACACATGATATTAAATACACTAGCAGTAAGCACTCTGTGAAACCAAAATTCAACCAGAGTTTTGGTAAAACTAACAAATCAGGACCCAAGAAAATGTGGGTACCTAAGGATAAAATAATACATGTTGCAGATATCTTTAGCAGAAAGTCAGAAACACCAGTCATGGTACCTGGACTCTGGCTGCTCGCGACACATGATGGGAAGAAGGCATATGTTCCAAAGCCTGGAACTTAAGCCTGGAGGCCACGTTGGCTCTGGAGGCAATCAGAGGGGAAAGATAATTGGCTCTGGAATTGTAGGTAATGGAAATCTTCCCTCTATCAATAATGTTCTGCTAGTAGATGGATTAATGCATAATCTGTTATCCATAAGTCAATTAAGTGATAACGGTTATGATATAATCTTTAATCAAAAATCATGTAAAGCTGTTAGTCAGAAAGATGGGACTATCCTGTTTAATGGTAAGAGGAAAAACAACATTTACAAAATCAAACTTTCTGAACTAAAGAGTCAGAATGTAAAGTGCCTTCTGTCTGTTAACAACGAGCAGTGGATCTGGCACAGAAGATTGGGGCATGTTAGTATGAGAAGAATATCTCAGATTAACAAACTCAATCTGGTCAGAGGACTTCCTAATTTGAAATTCAATTCAGATGCTCTGTGTGAAGCATGTCAGAAAGGCAAGTTTGCAAAACCTTCTTTTAAATCTAAAAATGTTGTTTCTACCTCTAAGCCATTAGAACTTCTGCACATTGACTTATTTGGACCAGTTAAAACTGCTTCAGTCAGTGGCAAGAAGTATGGGTTAGTAATCGTAGATGACTATAGCAGATGGACATGGGTAAAATTCTTAAGACACAAGGACGAGTCACACTCTGTGTTTGTTTCCTTCTGTAACCAAGTTCAGAATGAAAAGGATCTTAGAATCGTTAAAGTCAGAAGTGATCATGGTAGAGAATTTGAAAACAAAGATTTTGAGTCATTCTTTAATGAAAGAGGCATTCTGCATGATTTCTCTTGTCCTAGAACTCCCCAACAAAACGGAGTTGTAGAACGAAAGAACAGAACATTGCAAGAAATGGCCAGAACCATGATCAATGAGACAAACGTTGCTAAGATCTTCTGGGCAGAGGCAATAAACACAGCGTGCTACATTCAGAATAGAATCTCAATAAGACCTATTATGGAAAAGACTCCATATGAATTGTGGAAGAACAGAAAGCCCAACATTTCATATTTTCATCCATTTGGATGTACTTGCTTTATGTTAAATACAAAGAATCATTTGAACAAGTTTGACTCTAAAGCACAGAAGTGTATTATGTTAGGATACTCTGAACGCTCAAGAGGGTACAGAGTATACAATACAGAAACACAGATTGTGGAAGAATCAATCAGTGTTCGTTTTGATGATAAGCTTGACTCTGAAAAGTCAAAGCAGAATGAAGTTTTTGCAGGTATGGAAATTGAATTTACAGGTTCTGAAGACAAGTCATCAGAAGCTCTCAACACAGACACTCCTTCAACGTCTGAAAGGAGCACTGCTAGCAATCCTACAACAGCTGCTGATCAACCTCCGAAGAGATTACCCAGAAGCAGCTTGGATCACCCAGAAGAGACTATCTTAGGAAGAAAGGAAGATCCAATCAGAACAAGAGCAAGCTTCAGAAACTCTGAAGAAACTCTCATGGGACTTGTGTCTCTGATTGAACCTTCTTCTATTGATGAAGCACTTCTGGATAATGACTGGATTCTGGCAATGCAAGAAGAGCTGAATCAATTCACCAGAAATGACGTATGGGATCTCGTTCCCAGACCAAAAGGATTCAACGTCATTGGAACAAGATGGGTGTTCAGAAACAAGCTAAATGAACAAGGTGAAGTCATCAGAAACAAGGCACGACTGGTTGCACAAGGTTATAGTCAGCAAGAGGGGATAGACTATACAAAAACCTTTGCCCCAGTCGCCAGGTTAGAATCTATCAGACTTTTAATTTCATTTGCTGTTAATAGAGGCATCACTCTGTATCAGATGGATGTCAAAAGTGCATTCTTAAATGGTTATATAGAAGAAGAGGTTTATGTGCACCAACCCCCTGGTTTTGAAAATACAAAACATCCAGAACATGTTTTCAAACTAAAGAAGTCACTATATGGTCTGAAACAAGCTCCCAGAGCTTG